CAGACACACACACACACACACACACACACACAAAATTTTGTTCTAAACTTCAGGCTTCAAGCCTCAATTGACCCCTAGTCTGGTTAGATCTAAATGTTCAATAATTCAAACTATAATCTAAACTAAAACTTCTACATTATGAATTGACTGTTTTCAGAGTCACTTATACTTTTGAAAATAGTTGCAGTAGGTCTATAATATAAACTATGATCTTATAGCAGCAACAGTTGCAATATCAAAATTGGCATTGTTGAAGCCAGAAAGCATCATGCAGCTAATATGAAACACCAATAACAGAACAATTTACAAATGCAGGCAACTGTAATGTTTAAAATACTGCACTCAAAACTTGCCGAAACAAATGGAGAAAACTTGATAAAAAAGAAGTCATGTTAAAATTTAATTAAATTTATGCAAAAAAACTAAACAAATCAACAATAATGATAAATAGATTTAAACCTGTTTATGCATATAAAACAGGCAAAGCATGGACTCCTGGAAAATAAAAATTATGCTCACAGTGACCAGGCCTTGACAAATAATTGTTTAAAAATGGAACAAACTGCCTCATAGCCATTATATTAACAATCTTCCTTTGGAACTATAAAATCACTTGATAGTTTTTCTTCCTCAAAATCTGGTTGCTTTTTAAAGATTATATCATCACAAAGTTCAAAAGGTAAAGGCGTTTTATATTGAACTGACTTTGATGCTACATTACTACACTCCTCAATGGCTGCATAGCTGTCATTCCTTTCCTTCTTCTCATTCACCTCCAACAAACCATCATCTTCTTCATCGTCACTGTCATCAATGCCACTCCTTCTTAACAACGACATCATTTCATTTCGAAGTACTTTATGTTTCTTCTTGCAAGAGTGAAGTTTAGCCTCTAAGTGTTCATTAAGACTTTGCAACTCTTCTTTACTCTCAGTACAAGAAATAAATTTCTGATTGACTTCATCATTTGCTCTGAGAATAATTTGAGTATGAGTTTCGTTATCCGATATAGTTCTTTTATATTGATTAATCAATTGTCTCTGAGACTCATTCTCTGCATCCTTTTCCTTGCACTTCTTCTCCAATGCCGACACTCTTTCCTTTAAAGTTTTAATTTCGTTCTGGAGTAACATTTCCGGCCTATTGTCACACGTATCCCTCTCGTGAATGTACATGCCCAACTGCGTACAATAAAGGCCACAATTATATATACAGGATACAACTCTATAAAGACAGTCTTCAGTATGAAGCTCCATATCCCTTAGCTCACCAGCCCATGTACAGCCCTTTTCCTTATATTTACAGTACACTTTCAAATCCAGCACACGCCTCTCCACTAGTTTGTCTCTCATTGTTTCGTACTCATTGGACCTACAACAAGGACAGGCTACTTCAGCCAGGCCAGAATCCTGTATTCCGGTGATACAAGCTAGACACAGTTTTCTCCCACAGCATGAGATAAGGTGCGGGTCTTTACAAGGCAGAAGACAGACTGGACAAACTAGGTCATCAGGAGGATCTTCTACAAAATCGCCTTCCATCTTAGCGTGGGAGGAGTATGCCAGTATAATGCCACTCCTTAAAATTAATGAGCCACTCCTCCTTTTCTTTGATTAACCACACCTCTATGATTGTCAATGCTGCAAAAAGGTAGAAATGAGAGTGTTTGCAGTACCTCTTCTTTTCGCTTGTTGTTTGGCCATCAGTGACCACGTTGAAGCTCTCTTTCCTTTTCAAAACACGTCACTCTCAATCGAAGACAGAGTTAAGGTATCACACGAGGCACGCATTGCTCACTTTTGAGGTTTCTTTTGAGGTTTCTTTAATACAACAAAATACAAATTGCACAAATCTTTTTAAAATATTCAAATATTCTTTCATGAAAACTTCAATGTTTGTACTTTACAACTTGCAACTGACATTACTGTATAGCGCTTTATTTAGGAACAAAATTTTTGCTATTTTCGTGGGTTAGCATGCAACCGGGAAATTAAAGATACGCTAAAATTCAATTGCCATTAAAGGCGTGGTACTAATATTGTGAATCCGCAAAAGTTATTTCCATGAAAAATTGATTTTATCAATCTGCAAATTTTATGCCTGTAAAATTAAAGTGCTATATACGGTATTTGGTGGTTTTGCTACAAATTTCTTTCTCACTTCCCCACCAGTATCAAGTCCCCATCAAATTGTGTTATCATTCCCATTGCATGATTATGGTATGTGCTCATTGGGGTACAAAATATGACATGCTATTTCTATGTATGCAACTTTTATGTATCCAGTTTCTATTTTTATAGTAGTTTCATTTATATAGGATATCGTTGATAATCTTACTTTGGAAGAGCTAGTGGAACAAATGGCACATGGTGGTGCTACTTTAAATGGTATGTTGTAATCACAAACAATAATTAAGAAACTATAGACAATTATAATAATATTATTATTATGTTGATTAACTTAGTGTATAATTTTTATTTGTTAGGTCCAGCTCCAGGGATTCCACGACTACATATAAACCCTTACCAGTGGGGTACTGAGTGTCTCTCTGGAAATGTTAGTGCTGGAGATGCAACATCCTTTCCAATGCCTATAGGAATGGTAAGGAGTTAGATGTACGACTACTGAGTAGGATCTCCTTTAGTCTCTATTACATGCATGTACAAGAGCATATTATGTATTGGGTAAATTTGATGTTAGGAATTTTATGATTGCAATGCATTTGTGGTTTTTATATTGGTGATTCTACTGCCACTTGTCATTTTAGCATGCTCAAAATAAAGTGAAATTGCAGATTTAGTTTTGGCAATTTTATCATTATTTTACCAATTGCCAAAACAAAACTCTACCATTTTTCCACTATACAGTAGTTGGAATAGGGAAGCAGATAGGCCAAAGCTCCTAATAAAGTTTTTGTTTTGATTGTATGCATGTACTGTGTGATTGATTACAATTCATTCACCTACATTTACATGTATGTATGATCTTTTTTCCATAAAAATTTGGTATACTGTTCAGTATCTTGCCATTGTTTGGCAAATTATCCTATACTAAATTTGTCAAAAACATCCCTATACTAAATTTGTCAAAAATGGCTAGCTAATAATTCTCCATGTTTGTTGATGTATATTTTGAGCAATTAAAGTTGTTGGACAATTTGATGAAACACATAGGGTCTTTGACCAAATTTCAGCAAAAATGACTATGAGACAACTTCAATTTTTATTCTATTTTTAAGAAGCATACATGTACTTATGTTGTGTAGAAATTTTGAGCATATTCCAGTCAAATTTACATTTTTATGATTGCTTCAAAATTTGATAAAATACCCTGTACTATAGTACAGGAACTTTGGTTAAATTTCACCAAAAATAAAAAAGAAAGAATTTGGCATTTTTATAACTTTTCCTGATACATATACATGTTTTTGTGTTGTGTAGAAAGTTTGAGCTGATTCCGATCAAATTTAGATTTTTATCAATTTTTAAATTTGCATCAAAATTTGATAAAATACCCTACACTATACAGTACAGGAACTTTGGCCAAATTTCACCAAAAATGAAAAGGAGAGGATTCTGCATTTTTATAATTTTTCCTGATACATATACATGTTTTTATGCTGTGCAGAAAGTTTGAGCTGAATCTGATCAAATTTAGATTTTTTATGAATTTTTAAATTTGCTCCAAAATTTGATAAAATACCCTGTACTATAGTACAGGAACTTTGGTCAAATTTCACCAAAAATGAAAAGGAGAGAATTCTGCATTTTAATATTTTTTCCTGATACATATACATGTTTTTATGCTGTGTAGAAAGTTTGAGCTGATTCCGATCAAATTTAGATTTTTTATGAATTTTTAAATTTGCTCCAAAATTTGATAAAATACCCTGTACTATAGTACAGGAACTTTGGTCAAATTTAACCAAAAATGAAAAGGAGAGAATTTTGCATTTTTATAACTTTTCCTGATACATATACATGTTTTTATGTTGTGTAGAAAGTTTGAGCTGATTCCGATCAAATTTAGATTTTTTATGAATTTTCAAATCTGCTCTAAAATTTGATAAAGTACCCTGTACTATAGTACAGGAACTTTGGTCAAATTTTACCAAAAATGGAAAAGTGAGAATTTGGCATTTTTATAACTTTTTTTGTGATACATATACATGTTTTTATGTTGTGTAGAAAGTTTGAGCTGAATCCGATCAAATTTAGATTTTTTATAAATTTTTGAATTTGCTCCAAAATTTGATAAAATACCCTGCACTATAGTATAGGAACCTTGGTCAAATTTCACTAAAAATGAAAAGGAGAGAATTTTGCATTTTTATAACTTTTCCTGATACATATACATGTTTTTATGTTGTGTAGAAAGTTTGAGCTGATTCCGATCAAATTTAGATTTTTTATAAATTTTTTAATTTGCTCCAAAATTTGATAAAAGACCTGTACTATAGTGCAGGGTTATTAGCCAAATTTCATCAAAAATGGCTAGAATAGAATTCTCCATTGCACATTTTGAGCAGATTTCAATCAAATTAAATTAGATTTTTTAAATAATTTTAAAATTTACTTCATACAATTTATGCTATTACATGTACATGTACATGTATAAGGTTTATAATAATTGTCAGTTCCTGAATCATTCTTTTTGGCTCACATACATGTAGCATGTTTTGTGGGAAAGCTTGCTCTGTATAAAGCTAAGTGCTTATGGCTACTACCATTTCGCCTACCACGAAGACTAATTATTTTTTTAGTGCACTTCATTTTTTAATTATTAATGAACCACTGTCCATTAAGCACATAAAAAATGCATTTTAGTTTTTTGCTTTGTTATAATAATGATCACAATGCATTTAATGTACTTTCTGTTGAAATATTTGTGAAACTTTAAGAAAAAGTCTTACAATGTATTTCTAATTGTAATGACTTTTTCACCCATTGTATCAGTAAAATAATTATACCGGTAACAAGAATAGAGGATTTTGTGTGTGCAATTGAAATGTGTTATAGTTTTGTCAAAATTTTGGAAATGCAATTTTAGACTTTAATCAGAATAAAGCGCACATATCAAATCAGTGATACTGACTAAAAAGAATCAGTTACTAATTATGAAAGCCTGGCGATATTGGGAATTCATGATAATTATACTCTCATTATTAAATACATGTACCTCAATATAGCTAAGTACCTTTCTAGTATTGATAACAACAACTTTTATTAGCTATGTACTACTAGCCTTTGAAGATTTATGATAATCATTTTATTACAATAAAACATGGCAGACAGTGTAATATTGCAAAAGTAATGAATTACAGCCTTTGAAAATTTTGCACTAACCAGACGTACATGTACTACAATTCATGTTGGGATTACTGTTATGTTACACCTATTTGCTCTCCTAATATTTTTACACCTTACTATGATTGATAGTTATCTAAATTCACATTTGTATTAATTTTGGTGTTTAATATTTAATTACATATATAGGCTGCTAGTTTCAATTACGATTTATTGAAACGAGTTACTAATGCAACTGCTTATGAAGTGAGAGCTAAACATGCTGCAGCTGTCAAGGATGGATCCTATGCTTTTCATACTGGACTGAGCTGCTGGTGAGTTTGAAAGTGAGAGATACAGTATACTGGGAAATTTTGGAGAGAGTTAAATTTAGCAAATTGCTAAATTTTGGTGATTGGTAAATTTTATTTGGCGAATTAGTGGTTTAGCATCCGTATAATGGCTCAAAATGTTTAAATTGCCAAATTTAATTCCCTTCAAAATCTCCCCCTATTATGGTACATTAAGGAAGGTATTTATAATTCTAGGAGTCCTGTTTTGAACATAATGCGAGATCCACGTTGGGGAAGGAATCAAGTGTGTATTATGTTAAATACATTCTCTGTTATAATTTTGACCTAAGATGAAGTCTTGAGTTTGTTTTTATGATTGTTTTCACCCACATGCAATGTATGTATCTTACACTTAACATTCTTTTATACATTGTGACATGATGTTGTATTGGTCTTAGCAACCAACCTGGCCATGCTTTTTACATAAAGTGGGTGCACCATGACACACACACTGGTGGCTTACATATGGAATGAAGTTTTAAGTTTTTTAATAGCAAGATAATTCCACAAAAAATACTGTTTAAAAAAGGTAGAGAGAATCTCTAGAAGTCTTAATTAGAACCCAAGCTACATGTACATGTATGCATGCATGGTAGTGAAAACAATCTTAGCAATCTTAGGAATATTATATTTATGCTAATATGCTTATTATTTTATAATGATAGGAAACTTATGGAGAGGATCCTTATTTATCAGGCTATTTGGGACAAGCTTATGTCAATGGATTACAAGGAAGTATGCTGCTTTAGTGCAATATTGATACCAAAACTTTCAAGGGATTAAACTTTCCAAAATTTATTTGATTTGGATTTTAATTTTTGTAAGTCTGTGAGCATCTAGCTATTTGGCACTGTGTTATATAAAGTTTTATCAATTTTTCTTTGCAAATTTTGAAAGACTTACGAAATCCAAGTCCCTTGAAAGTTCCACATCTGTCATTATTAATTTCTAATAATAGTTTTAATTTATTATATGTTATTATAGCTGCATGTATAATATATGTCCCTTATATATTAGATAATTCAAGATACATCATAGCTAATGCTGGCTGCAAACACTTTGACGTTCATGGAGGACCAGAGAATATTCCAACATCTCGATTTTCATTCGATGCAAAAGTGATATGTCCATTACTAAAATAATTATCATTAATTTTGTTGCAGGTGTCAATGAGGGACTGGCGTATGACGTTCCTTCCTCAGTTCAAGGCCTGTGTTGAAGCTGGTGCTCTTAGTTTAATGTGCAGTTATAATAGGTAGGAAATGATACCTGTGTATATGTGACATGTACATTATACAATCACTTAATACCAGGATAAATGGAGTCCCTGCTTGTGCTAATAAAGCATTGCTTACTGATATTCTACGAAATGAATGGGATTTTAAAGGTTACGTTGTTAGTGATCAAGGAGCTCTAGGTAAACTTTTAATTTTATTAATTTATAAGCTATTTTCACTATAAATAGAGTTTATTGTTATTGAGCATCATTATGCTCCTGATTTCATGAAGGCTGCGGCTGATGCTGCAAATGCAGGTACTTGCCTTGAAGATGGCAATATTGGACGTAAATTTTTCAATGTTTTTGAGCACCTAGTTGATGCTGTTAAAAATGTAAGCATACATGTACTATATATCTTACTAGTTTTAATTATTTGTGATAGAATCTTGTTAGCGTTGATACTCTTAAAAATGCTGTGAGTAGGCTGTTCTATGTTCGTATGAAATTAGGGGAATTTGACCCACCTGACAATAATCCTTATGCAAAGTAAGTCTCATACACAATTGAAGGAAATGCTGAAAATGATGCAATGAAAGTTGTGTTGTTTTGTACTTTGAGTTTCAATGCATGTAGCTAGAACTGCATTTTATAAAATAAGTAATTAATGCGAAATGTTTTTTATTTTATTTTTTAGTATCCCTCTCTCTGTTATACAGAGTGATGCTCATATTAATTTATCTCTTCAAGCTGCAATGGAGAGTATTGTCCTTATGAAGAATGATGATGGTTTTAGGTCGCCTTTTCTACCTATTACTAATGAAGTCAAGAAAGCTTGTGTATGTACATATTATATTTTTAATTTGCAAGCACATGTTCATCATTTGTCTCACACTTATATACTTTGTCCCTTTTTAGATGGTTGGTCCATTCAGTGATGATCCTGAGGTTTTATTTGGTGATTATTCACCAACATTAATGGTAAACAACTCATTAAAACTGCACATAGTAATTTAATTTCACTGCTTGTACATATAGTGAGTGGTGTGATTTGAGACTTAATTGGCTTAATTTTATATGTATCTATTGGCATATTTTGTAAATAATTCCTTAAATCAACTCACCAGCCAAACTCGTTTATATAACTAGAAGGATACTAATGTATAATTACTAGAGTCCATGATGAGTTGTGATAATTATTATTTTTATAGCGTGATTATGTGATCACTTCATTGGCTGGTCTAAAGAATGCTAACATTGGTACTGATACTCTAAACTATGCAGTTGGCTGTGAAGACGGTCCTGCTTGTAGGTAAGAACATAGTGTCTACCCTAGTACAATCATGCTGTGATGAATCCTCATATATTTTTAGAAATTATGATAGTGCAAAGGTTCGTTCAGCCTGTGATGGTGTTGAGCTAATCATTGTCACTGCTGGCTTAAGTGAGCCTTATGTACATGTACATGTATAATTATATTACACCTTATGGAGTCTATATGCAGATTGAATTTGGTGTATTTTGTAGGTAAGCACTTGGAGAGTGAAGGAAAGGATTTATCAGATATCAATCTACCAGGGCATCAACTGGACTTGATGCAAGATGCTGAAGCAGCAAGTAAAAATGGTAAAATCAATTGAAAATCTAGAAGACTTGTATGATGTGGTTATTTTTTATAGCTTCTGTTATTCTTATACTGTTTAATGCCAGCCCACTTGATATTAGATATGCTAAAACTGATCCTCGTATTGTTGGTATACTTGAAGCTTATTACCCTGGACAGGTAGGGAGAGAAAAAAGATGAATGAGAGACTGAGAGAGAGAGAGAGTGATAGATTAGGTAATTATATTATTATATTTTACATAGACAGCTGGTAAAGCGATAGCTAATGTTCTCACTGGTGAGTATAATCCTTCTGGTAGATTACCTAATACATGGCCCGCTAGTCTTGATCAAGTACCTGGTATTACCAATTACACTATGAAGGAAAGGACGTATAGGTATTTCACTCAAGAGCCTCTTTATCCATTTGGATATGGATTGTAAGTCTTAACTTGTTTTAACCTATACGTGGAAATTTTTGAGGGGATAAATTTTTGCGAATTATAAATTGCAGGATTTTACAAGGTCAAATTTTCACGAATTGTTTTGAAGTGCCACCATTATAATTTGGAGAGTTAAAGTTAATTTTCGCATGTTTTAGTTTCGTAAATCACCCCTCGTTTTGTGAAATTTTGGTAAATTTATCTCCTCGAAAATTTCCACGTATAGGGTATTGTTTTTATGTCATTCCTCTCACTCCTTAGGTCATACACAACATTTCATTATTCTAATTTGAATATATCTTCTACAGCTACTGCTAGTGGGGCTGGTATGATTGCAGTGTCAGTCTTGGTCACTAATACAGGCAGTATGGATGGGACTGAGGTGAATCAGTAATAGCAACAGTTGTACACTACGAACCAGACCTGGGGTCAATTATCAGTTACAATTACGCATTCAGTTACACTCGTTTTGTAAAAATTAGAATTGCAATTATGCCATGTGGAAGTAAAAATCGAATTTTGATTGAAATCAGCTCAAACTAGATATACATGTACATCATGTGCTGTACATGCATCATAAAAATAATTAAAAAGAGTTATAAATTTTTTGCTTTTTGTTAATCTATAGAAATTTTACTTTTCACACAAATAAGCTTCAAGCATTCGTTGTCATAATTAAGATTATTGTTCGTGAACAGTTTTCATTTTATTTATTTTAGGTGACACAAGTTTATGTGTGGTGTAATATTTCATATGCACCTAAACTACAGCTGGTTGGAGTGAATAAGGACTTTATTTCTAAGGGAAAAACACTTGAGGTTAGTAATGTATTGCAATTGCTTGATGTTAAGGCTGTTATTGCTTCATGCAATTTGGCAATAATCAGTTTGATTTTTGAATCAAAATTAATTGTTGAATTTAAATTTAAAAATCACATTCTACACAACGTATCAAAAAATTGGAATAAATATATTGAGGGTCTCACTTTAGAGGGTCTGGGCAGCTCGATTTTGCTTACAAATTTAGCAGACTGATCCCCAAATTATATAAAATTGATTGTCCTCTCCCTTTAAAATCTTTTCAAAATCAGAAGATTTCTTTGTTTTTAAATTCTATTTGCCATTTCTTTTACTCCATGTAGTGTGTCATTTTGGCATAGACTTTTTGCTCTTAAGCAGCCAAAATTAATATTTGATATTGTTACCATCTATTGTATTATTATGCATGTACCACACAAATGTTATTTCACAATTGTTGTATGGGTAGTCAGCTGTTATGACATTTTGGTTAGATTGGTTAAATTGATTAGATTTGGTTAGATTGTTGCGTTGTAATAGTATTTTTTTCTCGTAGGTCTCATTCTCCATTAAACCAGAGCAGTTGCAGGTATGGACTGATGATGATAAATGGGTCATACCAGTCAGTACTTATGATTTGAGTGTTAGTGGTCAACAACCAAATCAAACAGTCCTTGCTTCCTCTAATGTACTAAAAGGCTCGTTTAAAATTCAATAGACATACACATATCACTTTCATGTTTAAATTTGATTGTTTAGATTTTTATTTACAAGCTATAGCTGTTACTCAGTTTTATTACAATTTTTAATTTTAACTTATTGTACTTTTGTTATAGTCTATTATTGTCAAAATTAGAATTATGTTCATGTATTAATGACTATTGTTATACAAGTGTGGCAAAACGTTTCCTCCATTATAAGCTAAGAAGTAAAAATGACCTTGTTGTTAGAATTTAGATTATTTGCAGAACAACTTAACTCTTAATGACCATAATTAAAATGGGTGTAGTTGCTGCTAGTACCAAATTAATTCAGTAGCTCGGCTTTGATACTCAGTTTTACAAGAATGGTATGTATATGATAAGCAATACAGATACCTACACTAGCAACAAAACATGCTTTCTTATGGCTAAGCATTTTTGACATGTAAATGGGTCAATTGGCCTGTCAACACAATTAATCTATGACGCATAAATGTGTCAATGGTCCTTACAGGGTTAACTGAATTGCAAAACTGCTGTTGTATATATTAGTATAGCTCAAGATGCTCAAATCTAAGGCTACGTTTACACAGCAATGAAAATGATGCAATCCTTAGTAGTAGCATAGTAGTTAGCATAGTACTCTTGATAGTAGTAACATAGCATTATCACTTCACAGAAAGAGAGAACTAGATAAGGAATGACCTGAACAGAACCATGGAAAACAAAAAGACTATTTACATGTGTGCACAGTGCACGCCTTCACAGAGGTTTTGGAACACGAGCAGTTTAAATAAATTCTTTGGCATTGATACCATTATAAATAATATGAATATACTGATTACAACAACAATAATAAAAATTAATACATGTCAAATTTGGAATGAATGGTGCAGAAATAAAAGGCAAACGTTAATTTATACATATCAATAAAATTTGTTTACCAAAAATATAAATTTAATCTGCTGTTATTAGTAGTAGCATTAATTTCATCTTCATTTTCATCAGTTCCATCACTAACTTCGTTGCTTTGAGTAATAGTTAATTGAGTCCCATTCTTTGCATAATGATGAAGAAAACAAGTTCAGATACAGTTAAGAAGAAACCCAAACCAGCACATACCTATGGTACATACAGAAGCAGTAATAATAATAGAAGTGATAATATACCGTATAGTATTTTTTAGAATAACAAATTTCAAAAATTTTACAAATTTTTAAAGACCCCTCAAATTTAATATCAGTCTAATATGGTAAAATGGCAGAAAAGTGGAAGTTCACGGAAACTATTTCAGTGAACCTACAGATACGGGTCATTCATGAAAATTATTACCCTCAAAAAACCCACTATACAGTAAAAGTGAAGATGCAATAAACAGATATAATGTCATTATTTAATTATGTAATTAACTCACAGCTGATGCTATTACTTCTTGCCCATGAAATGATCCTATAGAACGACCGCTGCAAGAAATGTGAGCATAGTCTGCTGATTTACGGAAATTAGTACACGTCTTTCCTCAGCCAGCTGACACCACTATTGTTGTAATGAATAGTAAAATGGCAGTGATTACCAAAAGACTGGTCTGGAAGATTCTGACATCGAGCCTAAAAAGACAAGACACATAGAAATACGATTGTGAATTGAAAATAATATCAGTTGCTGCTTCTAGAATCTGCAATTTGATTTGTACAAGGACTTGTATATTATGTGGGAAGTGAGGGATAATATAATTATGAATATTATGGCTGGTATACAGAAGCTAGCCAAACATAGTGCTGAATTCCTTATTCAATATTAAAATTAGGTTTATAGTTTCCTATTTCGTGAGGAGGTGGGTGGACAGTGTAATAATTATTGTGATTATCACCTATATAAATTGCAATTAATGCAAACCCATAATAGATAATGAATACTGTAAACGAATCAGAACCATTACAGTATATCTAGTATTTACTTTACTACTATGCATGTCATGCCATTTTTGTAAAAGATTTTGTTTTTAAAAATTTTCCATAGCTAAAAATAAATTACATTTTGCGATTTTTCTCAAAAAATTTAACTTACCTTTTCATAGCTGTCTGGTCCGAAACCGTCCAACGAAACGCACATCTGACCACCTCAAGGATAGCGAGCACGCTGTAGCAATTTTAGCACTTCCCACACTTAGTGTACAGGTAGCTGTTTTGCCGATAAAATCTTTATCAGTGACACTAATAAATAGAAGACAATAATACCCATCAAATGTATTAGCTATAGAAGAAGGCCAAGAGATGTGGCTGCAACTCCCAATGACAAGACTAGGGTCACAAGATATATATTTGAAATGCAGTTCATCCTCAAGTTCATCTTTTTGTGTCAGTTCTTGACTTCTTCAAGTTGAATTGGTGAATTGAATGGGTGGGGACAGTGGGTGTGGTATTTAAACTCTTGATCGAATTTGAGCTCCTAGTTGAGCTCGGATTTGCCAACTGCAGTCTACATCTGCCCACCACTCACTTCAGTGTCTGAGCTAGTAATGGATAAGAGGTTACCTCCAGCTCTCATACTTGATCCTTCAGAAGAGATAACCTTTGAAGGTATGAAGTTATGAACAAAACCCCAAATTAGATGCAATTGTGGGAGGGGCTGCTTTGCTGATTAGTTAATATCATATATATTAGAGTAAATGTAATATCTATGGTTATACATGTTACTGTACTATTTGCAGGTCCTTTTGTTACCACAATCAAGTCGACTCTGAAAATTATTAATGAGAATGAGCATAGTGTTGGTTTTGTGATTAAAACTACAGCTCCAAGGATATTCGTGGTCAACCCCAATTCTTCAGTGATTCAGCCACATCAAGCCATAACAGTAGAAAGTATGTTGCAGATGTTATGTATTGATGCTATACTCCCTTCTTAGTTTCAGTTGTACCAATGGATAAATCTACATTAGCCATTAGCCATGGTTTCAAGCTAATGGTGTCATCAGCGTTTGTTGATGATACTTTGAATAAAGAGATCATATCAGAAACAGTGAGTGTTTTATTATAGCTTGAGAAAGATATTTATTTTCTGGTTTGCCATGTGGAAGTATTTATGTGGAGCTGAGAGCCAGATTAGACTTAGAGAAGTCTATGTCTCTTTTTATCACTAAAATCATAAAATGCATCTATGTCTCCTCAAAATTATTCAGGCACTTGAAAAAAGTTCGAAGCATGCAAAAAATGATCTTGATCACCTATAGTAATTGACAAAACCTCTAAACTTTTGAGGGCTAATGCCTGCAATATCATAAAGCTAAAGAAAGATTAACAATTAATTGTGTCCTGGGAAGTCATAAGATGAAAGGTACCGCTAGTAGAATATTACTGATATCATGCATGCAGCCTGGTAAATACTGTATAGCGGGAAATTTTGGAGGGACTAAAATTTGGTGAATTGCTAAATTTTGGTGATCGGCAGATTTTAATTTGGCAAATTGGTGGCCACGTGCCATTAAGCATGCGTATAATGGCTCAAAATGGCAGGTTTTATTTTGGCGAATGGCTATCAAAATGCCAAATTCGCCAAATTTAATTCCCTCCAAAATTTCCTGCTATACGGTATATATATTCCACAGGAAGTGGCCAGGGGAATGTATTACGAAACAGGAAGTAGCATTATTTTTAATGAACATTTTAATAAAATTTAATGAAAAATATGAAGTTGATTGTGACACAATTCTCCAGAGTTAGAGCAATGCCCCTTAGGATCTCTTATGAGCAACATAATGAAGTCAGTAAAGTTTTGATGCCACATGGAAATGATGACACTTTCTTACCTTGGAAGAAACATACACGAAAAGAAGAAAGTGAAAGTTTCAAAGACTGTGCAATAAGGAGACTTACCATTTGTACATCTTCTATGGTTCTACTAGCCTAGATTCTACCTCGTCTTCCACAGCAAGCTCAATAATTTTTCAGCCATTTTTTAATTTTCTTACTAGTGGTAGGTGATATATTGATATTTTATTGATACAAACGATATTTTACGGTATCGATTCGTATTGGTATCGAAATTTTGAAGGAATCTGGATCAATACGTTGACCATGCCCATTTATTAAGGTTAATTGATATTAATAATGAAAATTTTAATAAGTTAATGACGTATAATACACACACATGTGGATACATGTGCATGAAAACATTGATCAAAACAGTCAGTAATAAGGGGTGTGACTCCATGGGTGTGGTCTGAATATTGTATTGAAACTGTATTGATACTCCTGATATGCATGAGCTGCATTGTATCAAATCCATTTTGGCCAGTATTGCCTGCCGCCACTGCTAATGGCATTAATTGTTTCTATGGCTAATAAAAATGTCTTTCATTATTATGACTTCCCTGGATACAAGCCAGTTAGAGCATGGCTTCTCGGGGAGTATCCCGTATACACTTCAAATGATATATAGTCCCTTGTTCGTGTACATTGATGCCCTTGGGACTATGAATATCATTTTCAGTGTATACCTGATACTCCCTGAGAAGCCATGTTCTAACTAATACATATTTACTTAACTGTATAACATACTGTGAATGGAATAATTTTAATTTTACTTAATAGATACGTCGTATGCCAAAGGATCAAGTAAAATCATTTAAACTGAGAACGACTTTTATCGAGGGTGAGAAGCGTGTAGCTCTTCAGCAACCAGCAACAGAGAAAATAAAGCCATCATTGCAAGATGCAGCTTCATTGAAACTCTCTGATTATGAGAAAAAAGAAGTTGAGCATTTACAGCAAATACGTACATTAGAAGAAGAGAATATATCGCTAAAGATAGATATGAAATCAAAGCTAGTAGAGCATGAGGAAAAATATAAGAAACACCAACTACACATTGATAAATTAGAGGAGGACAATAGCTTTCTAAAGGGAGAGATTGAAAGGAAAGAGAACGAGAAGGAAGAACTGAAACGAAACTTTGAAGCAGAGAAACAACAATGGGAGGTAAAATTGAGTGACATGATAGAAACTGGAAACTCTAATCCTATCCAACTCCAACTGCAGAGTCAAGTAGCTCACCTCTCAGTAGAAAATATGAAACTTAAGGGACAAGTCAGACAGCTTCAAGATCAGGTCAGAGCAATAGAAAACAGCTGGAAGATCAGTCATTCTGAAATATTGCTGTCAAACAGTGAGCTAGGTAGAGGAGGATGGGGAGTGATTTGGATTGGAGAGTTCAGAGGACAAAGAGTAGCTGTGAAGCAAATGCATGAGTTGCTTAAAAGTAAAGAATACATGGAGTTGCTTCATCGTGAGATAAATACAATGTCTCAATTGCGACACCCTAATCTCCTTCAGTTTATAGGTGCTGTATTAGACCATCCATCAGGTAATCCTATGATTATTACTGAAGTTATGGATACCTCATTGCGTAAAGCTTATGAGAATAATGAGCTGACTCCTGACCCATCCTGTAGACCAGTGATTCTCTCTATAATGCATGATGTAGCTGTGGGTTTAAACTACCTACACTGTCTACCTGATCCCATAATCCATCGTGATGTCAGCAGTGCCAATGTGCTACTAGAATCAAAGGGAGATATGAAATGGAAGACAAAGATATCTGATTTTGGATCAGCTAAACTTGCCTGTGCAGCTGTCACTGAATTACCAGGCACAATAGTATACAGTGCTCCAGAGTCCCTACAGAGTGTCTTAGATTCAGAAGAAGCTGTACAGTCACCTTTAATGGACTCGTTTAGTTTTGGTATTTTGCTTTGTGAAGTTCTCACTTGTCGCTATCCTGACCGTCGGATTTTTCGTGATATGTTACAGAGCATTCAAAATCTTGATGAGGGTGTTTATGATCTTGTCGTATGTTGCACGGAAAGAGAACCTAGGAAAAGACCAGTCATGAAAGAAATTATTTTAGTGATGGAGAACATGATTAATAAACAATAAATAATTGTAGTAATTTTTTATTTGATATTCAGTCTGTTTTTTGCAACTGGAGCCAATTTTTTGGCAAATAACTAAAGTAAACTGATGTAAAATTAATACTTCTGGACTCCCTTGTTTTTTTAATTGCTTGAGATCTCCTTTAGGTCATGGAATTTTAGACCACGCAGACAATCATGTTAAATAGTTATAGAAAGTTATATTGACCGGGAAGGCATAATTGTTTGTATATAGTCTACTCATGAAGAACTGATAACTTTTTACATAATCTAATTAAGTAAGATTGCAATTGTATATAATGCAAAATGTACATTAGAAAACGTCATATGCCTTCAAATTCAATATTTTAAAAGCATCCCACTTTTAATTACATTTTCTGATAAATTATCCTATATAATTATTATTATTATTATACTTGATTAGAGTTAAATAGTACGTACATGTTCAATATTGTGTAATGAATATCACTTATATAATATGTACTTTTATTTCAATTGTACCCATGACCATAAACTAGTTAAAGCACAGCTTCCCATGCTGTACAGGAAATACAGCACGGGGGAGGGGGGAACTTCAGGTGCTTTATACATACTGTTATTAACTTTTATTGTTGTTATTGTTAGTACTGAAGTAGTTGTGCTATAACTGAGAAACAATTTACTATGTTGACTTTCATTAGGACAACATCATCAGGCTGCGGAACCCAACCAATATGGTGGCCTATCTCACATCAGAGCGGATAGTCCACTCAGAGTTGCAATAATTTTTTGACCTGACATAATTACTACCTATTGAGACATTTTATTTAGTGTTGTTTTAGTTGACAAGAACTAAACTAAAATGAAATTTCGAAGTGATAACAGTAGCTAAAACTGAAATTATTACCATTGCATGACTAAAACTAAAACTTGAAAATAAAGAAATAGGAAACAAAAACTAAAATTATTGTGCCATACTAAAAAAACAATACTAATTTTACTTACTGACAAATTTATGAGCAAGTTACAACAAAATATTAATTTTACTTTTAATAAAATTTGAATTAATTTTATGATAACAATAATTCAAAATTAATTAGTACATCCCTCAATTTCCACAACAGGGTTGGAACTTCTTTCCTTGTACCTCTCCACAACTCCTTCTTGAAAAGATCCTCCACCACACACTACTAGTCTTGTAGCTCTGGACAAAATTTTCATCTCAACTTGAGCAATAAAAGCACCATTATCTACCCCATGACAGAGCAATGGATCATAAGCAGACCTCTTAACACCATGTGATGCCATTAAGTTGACATATCTTTTATTACGAAGTCCAACGTAATCAGTGAAATAAAGAATGCGATTGATTTTGTATTTCAATGACACCTCATTTGCCTTTTTCATTGCA